ATGGATTTAGTCTCCAGTACACACACACACACATACCCCAAAGCAGAACAGAGAAGTTGATAAGTGGGTGTGCAGCTATTACAGATCACAAATGAAAAACAAATCTGTCACAGGGAAAATCAACTGCCGGGAAATCAGTCAGTTGCTGCTGTTCTTAATTCAGAGGGGAAAAAAATGTGTATGTTGAAAACATTATTTTACAATGAATCATCTCTCTGGGTATACACTGTATGGACAAAAGCAGAAAAAAACATGACCCAAACTACAATACAGTAATCTTAAATAGTAGCATTTACAGACTGTATATCTTTAAAAAAAAAGTCTTTTCATTTAAAAACCAACTTTGCCATGGGCAGTGGTACATGTCTACAATCCCAACTACTTGGGAGACTGAGGCAGGAGAATCAGAAGTTTGAAACCAACCTGGGCAACATAGAGAGATCTTGCCCTCCCAAAAAGAAAATCTACTTTGCCTATTGACATTATTGAAATTGATATTTTTAACTGAATTAAGAGTGAGACTTTGTCCCATAGGCTTATGTGAAAGTCTAATAATAAGGGCAGGCTTAGCTAAAGGCTTTTAGAAGCAACCTTTTGAGAAGTAAGAAAATTGCCGTTCCATCAGGAACTGGTGTAGTATCGGGGACCTGGCCAGGATACCCAACTGCCTGAATGAGAGGTACAGTGAAAGGATGAAATAAGAAACAGACAAATTTAGTAATGCATGAAGTGGGGCTGGGAGGTCAGTACCTCAGGATGAGTTCACACAGAAACACTCCAAGCCAGCCACTATTCATTGAGTGTGTATCATGACAGGAGGCTTTAGCCTAAGATTCAAGGTCATTCCAGGACTCAGAGGTTGATGATTCAGTGAGCACTGGATAATCCTTGGATGACTCAAGAGGGTGGAGATGATCCCACATTAGGAAGGATCTTGCCCTGGAGTATTTTTTAATCCTATTGGTTTTCCTTTAGTCTTAGTGGGTGGGAGAGAATGAGTTAATGAGAAATTTCAAAAGAGTGATACTGATGATCCCAACCCTCCACTTATTCCTTAGGAAAGTGTGCAAAATTTTAGCCACTGTGGATTTGTAGCCCCCAACATAGCACAGCTGTACAACATACAACATCTCTCTATGTTGCTCAGGAGGCTGAAGCAGAAGGATCATGAATTCAAGGCCAGCCTAAACTACACAGTGAGACCCTGTTTCAAAATACCATTTAAAAAGTTGTTTTTTATTTCACTTTCAGGAGACTTATTCCCTCCTAAAGTGCTATCAACAGATTATAGATACACTGAAACCAACACTGATCTTTCTATATTCTGGCAATCTCGTAGTAATGACCATGCTGCCTCCTGCTTTGATAATGCTGTCAGCAAAGGAAATTCCTGGAAAGGTAGTGAGATTGTCATTGCAAGCAAAGAATCACATAAGGTCTGGTGGCTACCTTATTGATCCCTGAGATTTGAGGCCAATTAAAGTTTTTCTCTTTTTGACAGCCAGGAAAACCAGAAACAACAAAATCATTTCTATTGTGTGTGTGGATTCTGATTGCTGCATGGTGACTCTCTGATGCATCACGAGGGGAAAGAGTGGGAAGGTTTGTTGAGCTTGCTAGGGTGCTCTGATAGCAACCCTACTGGCACCGAGAGTACTACTGTGGCACAGAAGCTAGGAATCTGCCCGCTGGAAAACAAACCCTACTTTCTGTCTACCCTGATGAGAGTGCACAGGTGAGATTAATTAGAATCATTTGGCAAGGACAGGCCATCCCCAGGTAGGGCTGGTGACAAGGTATCCTTTCCTGAAGCTCCTTGTCTGGATGACCAATTTTCTATTTTTAAGTGGATAGGGTAACAGAATCCCTGAAGGGACAATCTTGCTTGATTTACATGAGAAAACATCACAGGAACTGGGATTCAAAAGCTCAGAGCTGTGCACTTCAGGCTTCTATACTTTACCACAAGTAGGGTTCAAATTTTCAAATTAATGAATTAAAAATAATCCCAATTTATGTCAGTGATCAGCCTACTTTGAAGCCAACACTATTAGTCTGCTTTTTGTTGTTTGTTGTTGTTATTTATACTCCTCCATTTTCAGTATCTTGCCTCATTTCAGTTTTGAGATACGAAGAGTTTTGGAAACTAGTTATATAAAACTGTGAAGGTCCTTGGTACTACTGCCATGTACACTCAGAAATGGTTAGATGGTAAATTTTATGTTGTATATTTTTTAGCAAATTGAAACAAAAATTTTAATGCACTTGAAAGTAAACCGGTCTGAAAGGAGAAGCGAACTGCGTTTGAATCCCTGATCAGCCACTTACCACATACATGGCCTTAAGCGAATCATTCAACCTCATAATTTCCTGAAATGTCAGAAAACAATAGCAGGCCTAACTGGGTAGCTGTAAAAAAAAAAAAAAATGAACCCAGGTATGGTGGTGCAGACCTCCCAGCATTCTGGGAGGTTGATGCAGGAGGATAAAATTAAAACCTAGCCTAGGCAATTTAGGAACTTAGCAAGACCCTGTCTCAAGTGGCTGGGGATATAGCTCAGCGGCCCAGCACCTGCCTGACAAGTGCAAGATCCTGAGCTTGATTCCTGGTGCAAAAAAAAAAAAAAGACTGTCTCAAAATATAAAATAGATAAGAACTGGGGATATAACTCAATGCAAAGGCCCTGGGTACAACCCCAGTATAACCTTAAAAATAGGAATTTTCATGTTTGCAGCATTGTTAATAATTTGCAGTTACAAGAAGATATCACTCAGAAATTTGAAACAAGGTGGTCTTCTGAGAATGGAAAGAGAAATCAACACATAATGGGATAAAACAGAGACATGTAGTGCCGTGAGAAAATTAGAGCAACCGGAACCTTAAAACAATAGGGCTGTAATCTGGTTGAGTACATTAATTTGCTGGGTGAGAGAGCAGGCTAACTAGAAACCAGTTGTGTAGCCTGCAGATCAAAATTGCCTGTTCCCGCCCTAGGAAAGACCCGGGGGAAAGTACTGAGGTCCACTGAGCAGACCTGTCTAGGCAAGCGTCAGTTTTGTCATTCAAATGAAAATCTCTATCTGATGCTAGGAAAACTCGGACTGATAACTAACTACTGTCATTCTTGCTTCCTGATGACTAAGGAACAAAAGCTGATTACACTGAGCCCTCTATGTGGCATAGACATGGGAAAGACGCTGCCCAGTAGCACACACCTGATCCCTCTGGCCCTTAACTTTTGTTTCTTTATATAAGCTTAGTGAATAAACTTGCCTTGAGTGTTAGATATCACTGCCGTGACCCTAGCTAAGACAATTTGGCCACTACTAGTGATCCCACCAGTTGTGACACAGCTAAGTGGGACACGGAGGGGATGACACCAAATTCACCCTTGAACTTAGGCTCCAAAGCAGCCAGCTGCTCTTCATGTGATGGGAGCAGCCACTCAGAGAATTTTCCACAATGCTGTGCCCACAGAGGGATGAAGGTGCCCAGCCCCAAAGTGAGGTGTAGCCTAGCATCCAGTGTAATCATCTCCCAATAAACTCCAGCCAGACTCATGAATGAATACACTGCAAGCACTCTCGGAACTTTACGTCTTATTTCAGTAGAGGGGTCAAATCCTTTATGAGCTTTGCACTGCTGTACCTCTCTTGTCCTGGGTTCTGCTAACTCATGTGGGCATTATGCCCTGCATACTGCTCATAAACTGAACTGCTTTTCCCAACCTTTCCAACACTGTGATAGAGGTGACAATCACCCATCCTGAGTTTCCTAACACCATTATTTGAGAGCAGGAAGGAGTTTCTGTCTCCCTGCCTTAGTCCCAGGACACTCATCTGCCCTCCACAGTTCAGTTTTTAACTTTTTAGATAAATCCATACCTTGGTTCCTTAAACTTTGGAGATTTTCATTATGCTCTTAGATTTATGATCTTTTATTCTAGTTGGCTCACCACTCATCACTGTGCTCACTTCTTTCACACCTTATTTGACTAATATTATGATAGTAATTGTATTTCCTTATCAGTATCATTATCCCACAATCCTATGATAAAATTACATACATGATTATAACACATTAGCTGCTCTGACATGGTCTCTGGACTGTGGCTATGAAGGACCTGCTCAGTTTGTGACAACTGGAATTAAGAGCATAAACATGGTTCATGGTATGGTTGTGCACCTGTATTCCCAGCACTAGTGAGGCAGGGAAAGGAGGATTACATGGGTTTGAGGCCAGCCTGGGTTAAATAGGGAGACCCTGAAAAAAAAAAAAAAACTGAAAAAAAATCTCACCATGGTAACACACTTTGGAAGGCTAAAGCCAGAGGATTGAAATCCAAGGCCAACTTGGGCTACATCTTAGCAAGACCCTCTCTCAAAATGAAATGTGAAAAAGGGCTAGAAATATAGCTTAATGTGAAGACCCTGGAAGGAACACACCATACACACACACACACACACACACACACACCACATTACAATCAACTGAAGAAAAAACACCCTGGCCTAAGCCCCAGCCCTGAGAGGCTAATTTAACTTATCAGATGGAGGGTCAAGTTTTGAATGATCGAGGAGGCAGCATGGAGATTTTCTAAGATTAGCTGAGTAGCCAACACAGAAGGCAGCTGCAAAACCAACACAACCATCAGAAACTATGCAGAAAGACAACGCAATGCATTTGCCCCTCATGCACACCTATGACCTGAGGGGATCGTTCTTCATTTTGGAAATAGAGAAACTGAGACTCAGAGAAGTCAGGTCACTGATCCAGTTCATAGAGCTCTGGATTGCAGAACTGAGATTTGGAATCTGCCTGTCAAATTCATAAGTGGATGGTATATACTCTCACTTTCTGTGCCATCTGACCAAACCCAAACCAAACCAGGCACACAAACCAGATTACGGCTCCCTGCAGACTGCAGTAACTTCCCTCCATCTGTTTATCCGTGTTGTAAGGGTTGTTGTCGCGGGAAAAGACTCCAAGGACTCAGCAGTTCTTCAGAGACGATAGTTTATTGTACCATGCATATGGGGTCCCCAGGCAAAAGGGCGCCGAGGAAACCCGAGGGTCGAATAGGCAGAGTTTTTAAAGCAAGAAACCGCAAAGCAAGCGTTATTACAGAAGCGAATTGTATTGGTTAGTTTGGATCACATCAGTACTTGTTCATTGCTGCTTGGTTGGGGCATTGTGGAACCAGGGGCATTGGATCCTAGCTGGGTCACCGTTGTTTGTCAGTTTTAGGTTCTGGGAACAGAACATTTTGTGGCTAGCTAGGGGAAACTGGCAGTTATCTTTAGATTACAGAACATCCGGGGCTGGGGATTTAGCTTAGTGGCATAAGCACCTGCCTTGCAAGCAGGCGGTCATGAGTTCAATCCCTGGTACCGATAAAAAAAAAAAAAAGAAAGAAAGAAAAAGTTAAGATTACAGAACATCCTGTTGCCCAGCTTGTGGAAAGTCCCTAACCCGCAGGGAGGGGAAGAGGGTTCTGGTCAGCTCTCACATTCCCCCCTTGTCTTGTAAATTTCCTTTAATCTTAAAGGTCTTGGAGAGGTATGGGGTCATATTGTTGATGCAGCATCAGGATCTTGACCTGGGATACCTGAGACCGTATAAACTGAGTGAGTCTGGAAAGGACAAATGGGCCTACTGTGACTAGGAGCAATAGCATTATAAGAGGGCCAGCCACTGCAGAGAGCAGTGTTGTTAACCAGGGTGACTGATTAAACCAGGACTCAAACCAGTTTTGTCCGTTTTGTAACTCTTTTTGTCTGGCTTGGAGTCGTTCTCTTAATTTAGCCATGGACTCTTTTACTACTCCTGAGTGGTCAGCATAAAAACAGCATTCTTCTTTTAAGGCAGCACATAATCCCCCCTCTTTTAAAAACAAGAGATCTAGTCCTCTTTTATTTTGTAACACTACTTTAGACAAGGAGGTGAAGGAGGTTTGTAAAGCTGACACAGATTTTTCTAGTTCTTGTAGGTCTGTATTTATGGCTAACTCTAAGAGGCTCAGTTGCTGTGATCCTTTTATGAGTGCAGTAGTTCCTGTTCCTATCCCTGCAGTGACACCAAGGCCCAAGAGCATGACTAAAGTTAAAGTGGCCACATCTCGTGGATATCGGTGTTGTATAGCTTGGTGCATCTGAAAATCTTCATCTGAGTGATATATAACTCTAGGATACACTTTAACCATAACACAGTAATGAATTGAGTTATTGAAAACTTCAGCTGAGATACAAGGGGTGAGACCAGTGTTACAAGCCCATCGAGTCCCCAGCCCAGGTACTAAGTATTTGTTAGAGTCCCCGTTAGAGGCTGGGGTGACAGATTGGGTAATTGTACACAATTTTGAGATTGGGGAGGGGGGTGTGCCTAAACATAATCCTTGTCCGGAAACTTCTGGTAAAGTGAGCCGATAGTTATTGTTCCAGTCACATGAGTCTCCATTAGTCCTGCTGTAGGTGCCGTTGACTGCTATGCCTTCATAGTAAGGTGGGGATGCAGTCAAACATAACCAGCAGGAGCTGGTTAAGTTTTGTTGGGTTTGGTTTAGGGCTGCATATCCAAGGATGAGGTTAAATAGAGGGTCTGCTTTAGCCTCAGGGGGTTTGTTAAGGGGGGGGTTGTGGGACTGTTATGGGTGTCTGAGGCGAATTAACCAGTGAAAAGATGATTGGCCACTGAGTGGTTGGCGACTGGGTAGATTTAGGCAGAGTTTTAGATATGATGACAGGGTTTGGTCCTATAGATACAATCGGGGTGGCTGGTTGTTCTTGTAACTTTAGAATAAACAATATGCCAGGGTATCCGGTGGCATATAACTGGAGTCCCCAAGTTTTACCTGTTTCCCAACCGGTTGTAGCCTTTCCAAGGGTGGTGAAAGAAATAATGCCCTCTTGGGAGTCCCTCAGGGGTGATAGTGGGGCCTTTTTTATTGTAATTAAATCCGGAGGTCCGGACGGTTTCCAATCTCGGCCGGTGTACGAAGTTTCACATCCCCAGGCCGCACAAAAGTAATAGTTAGAACCCCCACACTTGTATTCAGATATGCGGGTGTCCCCCGGGCAAATATACCAGTCTTTTGTTTTACATTGAGGCTGGTGGGAGAATGGGTAATATTGATGACGTAGCTGGTTTCCTGGTCCCAACCCTAAATGCCAGGACTTTCCGGCCAGTTTACATAGGTCAAAGGTTAGGTCAGGGAACCATGGGGTCTTTGGGCCAGTCTTAGAAGCCAGAATAAAGGATGTCTCTGTCTCAGGGTTGGTAATTACCCATTTTCGATCTAGGGGCCTGTGGGGGTTATCAGTGGGTGAGGAATGGCCTATCAAGCCAGCCATAAGTAGGGAAGCTAGGGGTAGCGTATAAGACATAGTGGGGTGCTACTTATTATCATTAAGGATATGGTCAGTAAGTGGTGGCCGATAAGAAGAAGTATATAACCAATCAAAGTACAACCAGAAACCAAATAGGGTAATAGAACATCAGGAGCACAAAAGTCTTTAGGGGGCTTTCCGGCGGTGCAATTTGACCTTTAGGGGGTTAGCTGACCGTTCTATGGTCCAGGTGTTTTCCGCTGGTGGGGAAGTGGGCTTTAAATGCGAGGCATGAATCCAAGATGCGATTCCATCAACTTTGACCGCCGTCGGAGTTGTCAGGAGCACTTGATATGGTCCTTTCCAGCAGGGCTGTAGGGTTTCGGCTTGATGCCGTCGGACCAATACGAAGTCACCCACTTGGAAATGGTGTGGAGTAGGGCAGTCACTGGGTTGATAGGCTGAGGACAGCTGTTTCCAGATGGTCTTTTGTAGGCTATCGAGGGCGATGAGCCTGTCAGATAGAGAAGTAGGTAACAGCGTAGACTGGTCATGGGAATTAAGGTCCCGAATTGGAAGCGGGGTGCCAAAGAGGATTTTAAAAGGTGTAAGGTTAGGGGGTTTGGTCATCGGGGTATTGCGCGCTCGAAAAAGGGCATAAGGTAAGAGCATCATCCAATCTCTTGAGCCAGTCTCATGGGCTAATTTAGTTAGAGTCTCCTTAATCGTTCTATTCATTCTTTCTACTTGCCCTGAACTCTGGGGTCTGTATGCACAATGTAGCTTCCAATCAATCCCCAATATGTTGGCCAGTCCCTGACTGATTTTAGCCACAAAAGCCGGCCCATTATCAGACCCTATAACCTTGGGTAGCCCGAAGCGAGGGAAGATTTCTTCCAATAATTTTTTTGTGACTATGAGTGTAGTCTCCTTTTTGGTGGGGTATGCCTCAGTCCATTCACAATCTTTAATCAAATGCCCTTTTTCTTTACAGTAGGCACATTGGTCAGGGTCTAACGGGGGGCGACTGGGCTTCTTACTACTTAAGCTCTCTTTTCCCTGTATGACCGTGGCCAACATTTTTGTTAACTCTTTATTGCGTCTTTTATCCCTCGCTAGTTCTTTTTCCTCTTCTGTCTCTCGTTTGTAATAAACCTTTTCAGCCTCTCTAACGAGGTCCCTCAGAGTTAAGTTCTGTAGGCCGTCTAGTCTCTGTAATTTTTTTCTAATATCTGGAGCTGATTGTCCTATGAAGGCCATGGCTATGGACCCCTGATGACCCTCATCGGTAGGGTCAAATGGGGTGTAACGGCGATAGGCTTCCATCAGCCGTTCTAAAAATACTGAGGGGGTCTCGTCAGACCTCTGAAGTACCTCTCTTACCTTGGCCAGATTGGTAGGGCGCCGTGCGGCTGCTCGGAGACCCGCCATTAGAGCCTGGCGATAGATGGAAAGATGCTGCCTACCTTCGGGGGAATTGGGATCCCATGTAGGACGCTTTAAGGGGAAGAGGTCATCAATGAGGTTTGGCAGTTGGGTGGGTCGTCCATCATCTCCAGGGACGTTTTTGCGAGCTTCGAGGAGGATGCGGTCTCTTTCTTCCGTAGTGAAGAGGACCCCCAAAAGCTGTTGACAGTCATCCCAGGTGGGTTGGTGGGAAAACATGAGAGAATCCATCAACCCTGTTAGCTTAGAGGGGTCATCGGAAAAAGAAGGATTATTATTTTTCCAATTATAGAGATCAGAGGAAGAAAAGGGCCAATATTGTAGGGTAGGCATCTCACCGTCTCGCGTACCATCACTGATCATAGGCCCGTAAGGTCTGAGGGGAAGGGTTACTGCAGGGGGATCGTTTTGGGTTTTGCTACGGGTGCCTTGGGCCGGGCCTCGTGGCCCAGGTGGGCTTGTCCATGAACAGGTGAGGGAGGGAGGAGTTGGAGCCGAAGAAGGAGCTGGTGAGGTAGAATGCGAAGGAGAAAGAGGGTATGGTGGGGGTGCGGAAGGGGGAGAGGATGGTTCGGAGTCACAGAGGAGTAAGTCAGTTTGGGAATCAGGTAGAACAGGTGAGATGGAGGTCCCTTTGGTCACAAGAGATTTCTTTTTTTTTTTTTTATTAATTTTATTTAAGGAGAAAAGAAAAAAAAAGCAGGGAAAGGGTACAAGTTATACAGATTTACAGAAAAAAATGAACAGTAGGAAATCACTAGTTAATGGATTACATATTGTCATCTTAGAAATAATTGTTCAAGTCACAAAATTAAAGCTTGTAAAGTGGACATTCCATCAATGATACTGCAAACAGTTCTGTTCATTGATCCAATAAAACTCTGTGATATCATTTTCTATCTTATACACTTAAATATACATGCAGTTATATAGTTTGGAGCACTTTCTTTTCCTCTCTTTTGTACCATGACTATTACACATTTTGGGTTTCATTGCTCCCATGGTTCTTATTACTTTTTTGGAAGAGAGTAAAACCAAATGTGACATAACAGAACAGAATCGGTCAAGTCAAAAGGGTGGACATAATAGATAATGTAAAAACATAATACAAGGTGATCAACAATGGTTACCATAATGCCTCCCGCTATCTCTAATAGAATTGCCTATATCGTTAGTTATAATACAATTGAACAAAACAGTAAAGAATAAAACCGACAAAACCAAAACATTGGAGACATTGTAGGTCTTCAAAAGTAGATAAAAGTCAACAAGAATGGGCGTCATAATGAATCTCATTATCTTCACAGCTGATGCCTAAACTTTCGAACCTGATACTATCCAGCAAAACAGAATAGGGGAACATCAGTTAAAAACCAGATGGTGAGAGTAATACAGGGCTTTAAATCAAGGTAATGAAAAGTCAAAGTGGGTTACTATAATATATCCTGCTATTTTTTTTCCTTTAATTAAAAGGATAAAGATAAAAAAAGTAAATAATGGAGTGGAGATTGAGATAAAAGAGGGCATAACAGCGAACCAGCGCAGATCAAAACATAACCATTTAAGCAGAATAGTGTTTCACCACCAGATAATTCCGACCCAAAAGTAGTTACCATATTGACTCTTTCCTTGAAATCCTTGAGTATAACTTCGTATACTGTAGCATTAAGTATATCAAAACAATGTAAAACCATTCAAGAGAATGACAGCATTACAGAGTATTTAGAATCGACTAACAGAAAATAAACAATGGTTTCTGTATAATCTCCTGGTCACAAGAGATTTCGTCAAGGGGGTATCAGGTGGTAGGAATGATTTTACCCAAGGCGGAGGATCTTCCCGGAGATCTTGCCATACAAGGATTATAAGCCACTTGATCAGGGTGGCCTTCTCATCCGGGCCTGAAAATAATATTCTTAACTGCAAAGATAAGCGGGAGGTGGAATGATCCCTCCGGAGGCCAGCCAACAGAGAAGGATGGCCACTCGGATGAACAAAACGTTCGCCATCTCCCCTTTTTAACCTCTAAGGAGAGATTGTGAGCTCTTTCCTTTACCTCCGACCAGTGGTCGAGAGTCAGGGAGAGTGGGGACGAGTGGTTTGTCCCATCTTCTTCCTACAAAGAAAGATTAATAACCGAAGACAGAGACTGGACAACACACAACAAAGGATGACTGAGACAATACAGAAACTTACCAGGACTGTCCTTTCATGCATTTAATAGTCGAACAAGACGAACAGACACTTATCTCAAATGGACCGCTAGAGGGCAGTCCCAGATCGACCTATGAGGGCCGCGAAGTGGGAACGAATTCCCCAAATGATAGGAAAAACCTATCGAGGCAGATGTCGCACGGTCTCCCGTGTGGGGCGTCCCCCAAACATCTGAACCCCGTCCGAAAAGATTTCTCAGACAGGAGACACAAACGGATCCGGCAGGACAAAAAGTGCGATCGCAAGAAAATGAAAGCAAAATATGACCGGTCTCTCTTACCTCCGAAGGGGACAGCCGATCGTTGGGGCCGTCTCCGCGAGACGCCTGGTCTCGCTAGGGCCTCCAAATGTAAGGGTCGTTGTCACGGGAAAGGACTCCAAGGACTCAGCAGTTCTTCAGAGACGATAGTTTATTGTACCATGCATATGGGGTCCCCAGGCAAAAGGGCACCGAGGAAACCCGAGGGTCGAATAGGCAGAGTTTTCAAAGCAAGAAACTGCAAAGCAAGCGTTATTACAGAAGCGAATTGTATTGGTTAGTTTGGATCACATCAGTACTTGTTCATTGCTGATTGGTTGGGGCATTGTGGAACCAGGGGCGTTGGGTCGTAGCTGGGTCACCGTTGTTCGTCAGTTTTAGGTTCTGGGAACAGAACATTTTGTGGCTAGCTAGGGGAAACTGGCAGTTATCTTTAGATTACAGAACATTCTGTTGCCCAGCTTGTCCCTAACCCGCAGGGAGGGGAAGAGGGTTCTGGTCAGCTCTCACAGTGTCACCCTGATTTTATATCAGTAGGAAGGTATGCAGGTTGTCAACTGCTGCAGGGGGACCTCACTAACAAAAGAGGTCAATAAATAAGCAAGGTACAAGCACAGAAAAGACTGTGTGAGCATTTCCTCACCCTGTCACTGTGTATCAGGGGTCTCCTCCCTCTCCTATCTTCTCTGCTTGTACTGTCTCATTGGTCTTCCCTCACCCTCTCATCCACCCACAAGGGTCCCAACTCCTTAGTGGAAGGGCAGTGATGGAAACTTGGAGTCTCACAGAAGGAGATTTTTGATCCCAGAATGGAGTGTCATTAGCAATAAACTGTCCTGCTACCCATTGAATACCACCAAGGTTATCCATATTCTGTTTCCCGCTGTCTTGTCAAAGCCTCCTCCTGAGGAGGAGGAAGGTGAATGAAGGAGGGAAAGCTGGAGGAAACCTGATCCTGGTGTAACAACAGTAGTCATCTGTAACTTAGCCTCAACCTTTGTTCACTGAACGGCGCACGCCCTTAGCTTCTGACCCACTGTCTTGCACTGCTGAAGGGAAGCTGTTCCCAAACACAGGCCATCACACACACCTGGTTGCACCGAAAGCCCCTGGCAAGAACAGTCAGTCAAGGAACCCAGGAGCCTTCTTGTCTCATTGAAGCCAAGCACAGGCTGCTCCTGGCCCACGAGAACATTCTGGTTCCAACCAAACAAGAGGCACCCTCCCATGTGCTGGCAGCCACTACATTGGTCTTGTTCTGTGTGAGAGTCTGCCCTTTGTTCTCACATGTCATTTTCCTCACTTGCATCCTGCCCTTTCTACTCTCTTTCCCTCCTTCCTGAACACTGCAGCCTCTTCCCACCTGATGCTGTAACTAGGCCACAAAGATCCCAAACATTTTGACTGAGCTTTGAGATATGAATGTATTAAGGTTTTTCACAGAATCAGAACCAATACTGTGTGGCAAGGGGTGAGGGGGGGCCGGGACATCCAAATTCCACGGGATGAATTGGCAGTTCCAGCAAGAAACTGGTGTCTTGAGTCTGAGGCAGCCTGGAGACAGAATTCCTTTCTCTTCCAGGGACTTCAGTCTTTTCAGGCCTTCAACTAGTTGGGTGGGGCCCATCACATTACAGAGAGCAATCTGCTTTATCTAAAACTCACTAATTAAGTACTAATCACGTGTTTTTAAAAGGTGGCACAGTATGCCAGCCATGGTATGATCCCAGCACTCAGGAAGTTGAAGCAGGGAGTTCATAGCAAGTTCAAAGCCAGCCTGTACTACATAGTGAGTTTGAGGCCAGCCTGGCTGAACAAGAGTAAGACCTTGTAGATAAATAGACAGACAGTAGATGCACAACAATATCTAAACTAGGGTTTCATCTAATACCTAAGCACCACTGCCTACCCATGTTGACACATGAAATTAACTGTCACCTGGACACAGCGGCACATAGCTATAATCCCAATACTCAGGGAAGCTGAAGCAGGAGAACTGAGTCTAGCCAGGGAAATTTAGCAACTTAGCAAAACTCCGTCTCAGAATGAAATAAATGTAAAAGGGCTGGAGGATATCTGGATTCAGTGCCTAGTACTGAAAGAAAAAGAAATTAACCATCACCACTAAGGTGAAGGAAAGATAGACGATGTCAACTAGAGCCTCTGAGAGAGGAGAGAGAGCGCTGTGCCCAGCTGTGCACCGTTCTCAATGGAAACCTTGGAACTCTTCAGAATGGGAATTAGAGAAAGGAAAGAGAAGCCACAAACACTGGGAGCTCAGCCCTAGCGATGTTCAGAAGGCATCAGGCCCACAAGCCTAGTTCTGAACCCAGCAGCCCCTTTTTACACTGCTGGATGAATTCTTCATATTCCCCGTTACATGTAAGCCATTTAGTGATGAGGGACCAGAACTGCCAAGAAATCCAAAGCTCTACTCCTGTACCATTTCATTCACACAGCTTATTATCAGCAGTAACATTGATATTGCACTCTTGAAATTGTTTTATGTAAATGTAGGCCAAGACTATAGAACCAAATATATTGATGTTACCAGCAAGACTTTTAGTGTAAGAGAAACGAAATGCACCTATCAATAGATAAAAGTTAAAGAAAAAAATTGTGATGTTAAATTGGACTTGTCAATGTGAACACATGACTGTGCTCTTTAGTGTATTTTCTAGCTTTGACCACTAAAAGGAATTAAAATGAGGACATCCCAGTGGGCATGAGCACAACTAGGTTCCAGACTGAGCTTTCACATACAATTCCTTGCACAAAAGCACAAGGACATCTCAAAGAAATGGTTGGATTCAGGGTTCCCGTAGAGGACACAGAAGATGAACCCAGGATGTCTTTGACCAGAAAGTAAACAAAATACATACAGAAAACAGGAGGGAAGCTGTCTGGTAGTATCTATAGGAGTTAAACATACCCTACGAACAGCAATTCCACCCTTTAGTAGGTGTCACCAACCCCAGCCCAAAACAGTTTCACTCAAGGACAGGTAACAGAATGTTCATAGCAGCCCGGTTACATGCTGTATTTTATGTAGCAACACACAACAGTAAATCATCCTCAAGGCCCATCTACCTTAGAATAACTACAGAAATGGCAGGAGCATTGCAAGATTCAAACGTGTGACTTCGTACAACATGAATGAAGCTCATAATGTAATGAGGAAAAAAAAAAGCCAGACTAAAAAGAATACATGCTGTGTGCTTCCATGTCCGCAAAGATCCCAAACCAGTAAGATCTTTAGTAATTTAGAATAACAGCTGAGTGTGGTGGCATTGTCTGTAGTCCTAGCTACTCAGAGGCTAAGGCCAGCCTGGGCAACATAGCCAGATCTCATCTAAACAAAAAGAAATAGAGGTAAGGCTGGTAGTTACTCCCAAGGGGGCAGAAGTGTTAGGAATAGGTGTGACTGGGGCTTGTAGGATTATGGGGTGCTGGCAATGCTCCATTTCTAGGTCTGGCAACTGCCTTACAAGCATTAGCTATATGAAAATTTTTTGGAACTGTATACTTAATTTTTTGTGCTTTTATCTAATATGTTAACATAAATATATATGTTATATTTCAGTGTAAAAGTTTTACCTAAAAAAAGTGATCTGTAATCCTAGCACTCGTGAGGCTGAGGCAGGAGGATCACTGCAAGTTCAAGACCAGCCGGGTGACAAAGTGAGCTCAAGGTTAGCCTGAACTGCAGAAAGACCAAAACCTGAACTCAAAAAGACGAAAAAAAAAAAAAAAAAAAAAAAAGCAAGTGGTCTTGCCAGGCACAGTAGTACTCACCTGTCATTCCAGCATTCAGGAGACTGAGGCAGGAGAACCACAAGTTAGGGGCCACCCTGGACTGTGGATCATGTTCAAGGCCAACCTGGACTATAGCAAGACCCTATCTCAAAAAAATTGTTTTAAAGAAAAGGAAAAAACACGCTGAAATGTAGAAGGAACGATAAAATTTAATGTGTAACTCCTAATACAATGATCCACTCTCACATCAATCACTGATGGAAACTAAAACCATCTGGTGAAAACCTGTTACATACAAACATACAGAGAATGCCAAAGGATCATCCAGAGACTGCTCACATTTACACAAGAGAGCCATTAATTATGTTGAACTCACTATGCATCCCAAACTGGCCTTTAACGCTCAGCCGTCTTCCTGCCTTTCCTTCCCCAGTGCTGGGAATGAAGCATAAGCCACGACACCCTGCTAGGAGAGCCTTTACTCCTCTGTAATGGTGAGGCCTGGTGGCCATGGCCTTAACCCAGTGACTGAGTTTAATACAATAATAGAATGCTGTGGCATTCTGGGTCACCTGGTATGATTCAAATTAATCAAGCAATATAACCTGAGGCAGTGTGGTGTCCTCACCACTTTTGAATCACCTAAGATTTTCAAAATCCCACTCCAACTACAGCAGCATTTATGAACTGGACCACACAATTGTGTTTTTTAAAGTTTCCCAGGTGACTGCAATGGATAGTTAAAATATTATAGACAAAAATATATCCCCAAATCTAGCTCCTGGTTTCAATTATGTATAGGACATAGAGCAATGGTTCTTAATGCTGACTCTATATTTGAATCATCCAGGGAGTTTTGAAACCAGTATTACCTCAGCTGTGTCTCCAGTGAATCTGATGCAATTAGATGAGATTACAACTCAGGAATTTATTTTCTTTTCTAGGTCTTACATTTTATTTAAGTAACTTCCCATAAGAACAGAGTGGACCAATTACTCCCTCTTGCTTGTCAGGCCAATTCTGCGTTCAAAAATGCAAAAATAAATGGTGTAAAGAGGCTTTGCAAACCCACAAAAAAACAGGCAACGCTGTCTGAGATGATTCAGATTTGTGCAGACATTGGCCCCTCATAGGTACAAGGGGCTGCCTTGGCAGCAGCTATCACCCAGGTTATTCATCCACAACCTAAAGGAAAAGGAAAGAACACTGTTACTTTTTCAGCTGTAGGGGTAAGGGACATTTTGCCCAAAATTGCTCTGCTGAGCCTGTAAGGGAAGCACAGCCACTATCTGCATTTCAACAAAATCTTCTAGAGTCTGTTCAAAGCATAGATGAGAATACCTTTGGGCTAATGAGCATATAGATCCAAAACTGGTGTGGAGACCTTCTCCAGCCCCACCCAGCAGGGGTGTCATTCTCCCTAATTCCTCCCAGTTCTACCCTTCACTGCCAAGCACATTTCTGACCTCTGGTAAGCATAGAGACCTTCACTCTAAGCAACAGTGGGACTCCTGCTAGGCCACAGCAGTCTCACTTTAAAAGGTCTCTAGGTTTGAGGGGCTGGGGATTTAGCTCAGTGGCATAAGCCCCTGCCTTATAAGCAGGCAGTTGTGAGTTCGATCCCTGGTACCGATAAAAACGAAAAAGACAAAAAAAAAAAAAGTCTCTAGGTTTTACCTGGTGTCATCAGTGCTGATTATACAGGATAAATGAAAGTCATGGTTCAAATTATTTAACACATTGTTCGGGTCACCCCAGACTCTCGTAACACTCAATTGGTCATTCTTTCTTTAACAAAAACTGGAAAATCTGTAAATAAATAATGAGGATCCAAAGATTTTGTGTCCTCTGATATTTATTGGGTTCAACAGATTAAACAAGATCATCCTGAGATGGAATTGATTATTGAAGAAATAACATTCACAGAGCTTATAGACACAGATGTAGACATTTTGGTTATTGCCCAGTGCCATTGGTCTATGACATGGACTTTGGATATAGCAACTACAGATCTACAGCAATGTTTCTCACCCTAGTAGAAATGCTAAATTGTCCTGGAGAGATGCAGGACATTTCTGTACATTTCTCTCCTTATATCCTTACCCATATACCCATCAATTTATGGGGTCATGATGTATTACAGGATATGGGGACATTTTTGGTCAATCTCAACTCTTTGGTTATTTATCAGATGTTAAAACAAGGTTTTTCTCCCCAATCAAGGGTTTGGTAAATACAATCAGGAACAGAGAAGTCCTTCCAGCGGTCCCTAAAAAGAACTGCTTTGGTGCAGGATACTCACCTTCACATTTTCAGGAGGGGCCTTGATCTCTTCTCCGACTCCATGAACAGCATGCAAGACAACTTGGATGTCTGATGACCCTGTTTGAGCTGATCAATGGCCCCTCACTCAGGAAAAGCCTACAGTAGCTTATACACTAGTCAATGAGCAGATGATAGTGGGTCGCCTAGAACGTTTTAATAGTCCTTGCAATACTCCAACTTTTGTGATAAAAAAGAAGTCAGGAAGGTAGACATTTGTACAAGATTTGTAGGCTATTAATCAGACCATGGAACTTATGAGAGCACTTCTCCCAGGAATGCCCAGGCCCATAGCTATCTCTCTACATTTTTCCACCATAATGATTGATTTAAATGATTGATTTATACAATCATCCTCCATCCTCAGAATAAAAAACATTTTGACTTTAGTTTTCTCTCCATTAACCATCAGGCCCCTATGCATCATTTCTAATGCTGTTTTCTGCCACAAAGAATAGCGAGCAGTTCTATGCTACATCAAGAGATAGTGGCTGTGACATTTTGTCAATCTGTCAGGCCCATCCCTCTGTTTATCTTACTCATTACGTGAATGATATTCTTCTAGCACATGAATCCTTACCCACCTTACACAGAATATTTCTGCAAATAAATGATGCCCTTCATGATGCAGGCTCCTGAAAAGGTGCAAAACATGGTGCCCTTCTCATGTTTAGGTTACCTGACCTAATACAGACATATTGTGCCTCGAACTGTTCATATCCCGGTTAAAATATCTTGTAAACTTAACTGATTTTCAGACTTCGCTTGGCAATATTAATTGGCTCTGCCCAGATCTTAACCTAAGAACTCATGATTTAGACCCTCTCTTTGACATTCTCATGGGGAACCTGGCCCCCACATTTCCAAGAGCACTTATGTCAGAGTGTAAAGTTGCCTTGGACAAAGTTACTGTGGCCCTTTCTAATGCTCCAGTTTCTAGAGTTGACCCATCTTCATCAATGTTTTTAATTATTTTCCCAACTCGACACATACCCAGTGGGGTCTCAGGGCCAAAGCAATGGCTACATTCGCCACAAGCTCTACATAAAACCATTACCCCTTTTCTGTGTCTGAGCTGATTACATGTGGGCAGATGCATGCTGTTCAGCTCTTTGGTTGCGAGGTGCAAACTATCATTGTCCCCTTTTCTGCTGTTCAATCACAGTGGTGATGGCAGTTTTCATCCTCTTAGCAAAGAGCTCTGAGAATTCCAAAGGATCCCAGGGGACACATGCAACTACAGAAACAGAAAAGAAGGAGAGGTGGGGAGCAGCTGAACTGGAGATCGATTACACATGGAGGACTAGAGCAAGGCCAGCCCTGAGAACACTGCGCACCCGAGTGAGCCAGGTGAACAAGTTGCTATACAGAGGGTTTCACCAGACACCAACCTGCCAAGCGTATAAATAAACACAATGCCGTCATTTGGCCGTTCTTTTTCCTCCACCAGGAGCGAGGGCTCCAGCTAACCTTAGCTTTCTGCATCCTGACTCTTGCTGTCATTTCCTCATCCTCTACTTCCTCCTAGAAATTTCAAGAGCTGTGCTGGATGTGGCAGTGAAGGGGAAGTTTGCAACTCAGGTTTTTTCTTGTTTTTTATTATTATCAAGTTTTTAGGATAATTTAGATATACATGATGATCACATTCATCATAGGAAATTTATATCTATATGATATCTCTTGATTCCTCTTTTTTCCCATTCCCCTCCCTTTAATCCTTTTTCCTCTCCTTATTTACAAAGCTTTGCTTCCATTTTATCCTCCTTTTCTCATTTTTTCTTTTCCCTTCTTTCCTTTCACCCTCCCTCTGTCCTAGTTCCCCTTTCTTTTTGAACAATTTCTTCCTATTTTATAATATCTATTTTATGTTTTGGTCCTTATTACACTTTCACTTTCTCACACTAGAGATATTTACACATGTGTATCTAATTTATTTCACTTAAAGAGTATGGTCTCAAGGTCCATAATGTCTCAAGTTTATCCTTCTTTATGGCTGAGTAGCACTCCATTGTGTTAAAAAAAATGTCTTTTATGCATCTATCCGTTGGTGGCTATTTAGGTTGTTTCCAAGATTTAACTATTACAAACTATACCACTGTAAATATGGATACACATATATTGCTGTGATATGATGCCTTTAATTCTTTTCAGAAGATACCAAAAAAGGGAATAGCTGGGTCAAATAAGACCTCTAGTTGTAGTTTTTTGAGGAATTTCCACACTGATTTCCATAGTGATTGCACCAGTCTATACTCCTACCAACAGTAAAGAATGGTTCCTTTTTCCTACAGCCCCACAAGTATTTGTTACTGGTTAATTTCTTGAAAATAGCCATTCTTTCTGGAGTGAGATGGAATCTTAGCACTGTTTTAATTTGCATTCTCTTGAATGACTAGTGATATTGAGCACTTTTTGAAATATTTATTTGCCATTTTTACTTCTTCATCTGAGAAGTTCATCTCAGATGCCCATTTTCTCATTGAATCTTTAAAAGAGGGAAGAGGTTCTGATTTTATCAATTCTTTACATGTTCTAGATATTAATCCTTTATCTAAGGAACAACTGGCTAATTTTTTTCCACTCTATCTGTTGTCTCTTCACTCTATTGGTGATTTCTTTTGCTATGCAAAAATTTTCTACATGCCTATCAACTGAGGAATGAATTTTTAAAATGTAGTATTTTATACATTGGAGTACTACGCAGCTATAAAAAAGGATAAACTGGAGACTT